GAAAATATATCAAAAGATAATATTTGCCAAATTGTTTTGAATCTAGAAAAGATATTATCAAATACTCTCAAAAACCGATTAAATCTATTGAATATTTGGAAGATATTAGATATAAGATAAAAGATCTTATCAAAAGAAGATTCAGAGTCCAAGCCCAATCAAGCCTATATAAAGAGACCCAGGGGAGGCAGAAATCATAACTCATTCATCCACCACTCCTCTCACTTTTATTTTGCCATGTATTCTACTTCATCCATGGAGGGCTAAGCTTTTAGGGCTATTCCACTATACTTTCATTATGGATTCTGAGGTTAAGTTGAATTAATGTAATTGTTTCTTTTGATTATTGAATTGAGTTGCTCTCTTTCTATGCCTTTCATCTCTCAATCATATTAAAAGTAATGATTTTTACATCATATGGTGTTTGAATTTACATACATATTGATCATATGAGTTTAATAACGGTTGAAAAACCGTTATTTTTATACTTAATTTTGATATTAAAAACTCCCTTTTTTGACTTAGAAGCTTGCTTGAACTCATGTTTTTACTTTAGTTTTGTGAATAAGAGAGTTGAAGGTGAATTTAATGGTTTTGTGTTAGAATCCCTTGATTTTGTAGGCTATTGGAATGATTTGAAAGAAGAGTTAAAGTACCGAATGGTTGAAATACAGAAAAGTCAACCAGAATGCAGAAAAGTCAATCAGTCAACCAGTCATCCAGAATGCAAAAAAGTCAACCAGAGTGCAGAAAAAGTTGTGTTGAGTGGTAATTACCGCTAAGCGAGAGTTTTGAAGTGCCGAAATCACTGTTGAGGGCTAAAAATGCAGCTGAGCTTCATTCTGAAGAGCCGCACTTACCGCTGAGCGGCAAAAATGTCGTTGAGCGACATTTTTATGGGCTTGGACCTGTTTTCTGTTATTTTTATGTTCTATTTAAGGACTTGCACGTCCTAGGGATGGTATATTTTGATGGTTTGAGCACAGAAACACACTTTTCTCCCCTTGGGGGCAGATTTGGGGATGGGGGAGTCTCCTCTTCTCTTTCTAGGGTTTTTCTATCTCTTTCATTCTTTCATTCCATTGATCATCTAGTTTCTCCATGATAATGGAGAGCTAAACCTTATTTATTGTTGGGAAAGATGTAACCTCTTAAACTCTCATGTATTGAATTGATTATTGATTATATATGCTTTACTTCATTAATTGTTAGGATTTTTCCTCTTTACTCTTTGCATGCTTTGTTTAACTCATTCAATTGCATGATCATTGATTTTGTCAATATGGACACATACAGGAAAATCTAGAACTAAGGAAATTCTCCCGGACACAATATTACCTAGACATAGGAATAGGAGGATCGGTTGCCTTTAAGCTTTTGTGCGAATGTAATGCATGATTAATTCCTAGGGAGTCAAGACATTGTGAACTAGTAATTAGGAGTAGGCTTTCTTCACCAAGACATCGGGTTTAAGGTAAATTAGAAAGTGGCATTAACATTATTGAAGAAGATAAATTCATATATGCATGAGAGTAAATTAGGTGAAATCTAAATCCAACAACAATATCATCAACTTCATCCATTTATTCTTGTGTTTAGTCTCAATTGATCAAATTGCATTCATGTTTATTTTATTGCATTTGGATTCAAAAACCCAAAATTTGTTATTTAGAGTCTTAATTAGTTGAGTAATCACATAACTGTTTAGTATCGTGAGTCTCTTGGGAAACGATACTTGGTCTTACCATTTATTATTACATTATACGATTTGGTACACTTGCCGAGGTCTTAACAAGTTTTTGACTCCATTTTCGGGGATAAAAAATTTGTTTATCAGAGTTCAAGGGTTTTTAGGTTTGATTGAGAATCTACTTTGATTAAATTTAGGAACTTTCATATGATTAAAAGGGATTTTGCTATCAATTGAGAATGTACTTTGATTGGTGGTAATAATTTCAATTATAATTAGTTGAAAATTTACTTTGATTAATTAGCTTTTAATTTGGTTAGAAGATTTAAGAACATACATGATTAAACACAATAGGATTTGATTGAGTATGTACTTTGGTTGAATTCATTGTGAATAATCTAGAATGGTCTTACATTTGATTGAGAATCTACTTTGGTTAATTGCATGATCGTCGTCAAATTAATTAAGAATGTACTTTAATTAATTTGAAACTTGAACAATAATAAATTGAATAATGATCTATGGATAACCCGATGATGAATCTATCTTGGAAAAGCAGTGGAATTAGCCTATTTCATTATAATTGTTTATAGGTTTCCTCTTTGTTCTTCAAACATTAATTCCATTGGCATAAAGAAGAAGTTATTCCTGGATAACATAGAACCTGCACTAGTGCTTTCGTCGTTGTGAAGTCGTTCACTGTATGGTTCTTCATTCAGACTGTTCGGATCGTCCACTGGAACTCTATTTTGAGAGAAAATAATGTCGCATTAGCAGCTTTGCTTTGGAGAATTTTCATCTTCTTGGTTCACATTTGTAAGCATTATGCTTAGTTAGTTTAGTTTATTGAAAAACCTATTTGGTGTTTTTATGAGAGACTCTTTTGCACCCTATTGTGGGGGTATAACATGTCAATGATTGGATATGGATGATTCAAGTGATGTATTATATATGTTTGAGTATGTTTACATAAGTATGTGATGGTTGAATACATGTATGATGTGTTAACTTTGTTTGCACGTGATCTAGGGTTGATGTATGTATGTTTCAATGCTTGAATCATCTCCAAGATGTGTTTTATTTTGGCAGTAATCGATTATGTTTAGGGTCAGTTTGACTTGTGGTTGAGAGTGGAGCATGAGTGAGTGTTGGGATGTACCTGAGTATGTGATTGATAAGCATGAGAGTGGAGGATAGGTCTACTTTTTGTATCTCATAAATCCTGGTTCTATCTACGGATAGGTGCTTCCTTTTCCCTGTGTGAATTGGAAGGAGATTATCTATAAGGGAGGCTATAAATGTCTTGTAGGGGAGCTTAATGTGGGTTGTAGAAGGGGCTATAGTCGGTGAGGTAGGGTACAGGAGTGAAATGGACTCTTTCCACTCTGGTATTATGGTATGTGATGCTCATGGTGTTGTTCATGACTGGGATAATCATGATGATGGTGTATTTATGATTATGGTCATGGTACTTGAGATGCTCTAGGTTATGTTATGTTGATAGTGGTGTTACTATAATAGTTATAGTAAGTAGTTAGCATGGGTGATAATGAGTGGATAAACTAAGGGTCCATGGGTGAGATGTCAGTGATGACATTAAGGGTTAGAGATCAAGGACAGATGATCGAATTTCAAGGATCGGGGATCGGGGATTGAGTAATTCAGTACGATTGACTTGTTTATTTTAAAGGATTAGGAATCCTATTGTTATTACTACTATGTATGGGGTGTTTGATTATGATTGATATAATCAGAAGGTATGTATCTTGTTATGTGTTTGATTATGGTTGGTATAATTAGAAGATATGTATCTTGTTGTGTGTTTGATTATGGTTCATATAATTAGTATGTATGTATCTGGTTATTATAATCGTTTTATAAGTAGTTTACCCCATACATGTTTGTGCTTGTGTGTTTGTGAATTAAATTATCGACGATGATCGTATAATGTGTTATACGTCAGCAGATAATGTTACAGATGTTCTAGAGATGTGATTGACTCGAGAAAGGATGAGGAATAACCTTGAGATTCATTTAAAGCTATTTTGTTTTACAAGTTAAGACAATATAATTGGAGTATTTCCTTCATTATTTTATTACTCGAAATAATGTAATTGGATAAGATTTTCTTTAAGTATGTTTTTGCGCTATGATAAATTTTGAATTTTACCAATTTTTAATAACTCGTGACATCTTAAAAATCGTGGTGTTACAAATATAAGACAATAATATATAAAATTGACATTGACATTTAACACTGTCATATATAATGGTACCGCATGATATAAGATTGACCTAACATGTCAACAAAATATAAAAGAAATAAAAAAAAAGATTTAATCATTCTCATGATTTAAAATTGTCTATAAAATTAAATAATAAATGAAATCATTTAACCTAAGTAATATGAATGAGCAAACTATAAAAGTTAACATTTCAATAATAAATATTTATGTGGAGGTGATCTGCACAAAAATAGTCTCAGTTCTTCCCCAACAATTCATTAAAAGTTTCTAGAGTTAAATATTTATATTTGGAATACATCATCACTAATAATTCACTTAACAGAAACATATTTAAAGACAAGAATTTGAAAAACGTGCATACCGTTATTTCATTTGGAAAGAACAATTTTTTTTAATTTGAAAAAAGTATTAGGACTAAATTGAAACAAAATAAAATTACAAGTACCGAATTGAAACAAAATAAAAATACAAGGACCAAATTAAGATAAATGTAATGACACGTGGCCTGACAGTGACACATGGCACTAGTAGTGCCATGTCACACTATCATTGTCACATGGTACAATGTCAGCTTGACACGTCACAAACTTTTTTATTTAAAAAAATAAAAAATAAAAATATTTAAAAATTCAGAAAATCTACAAGTTGATATGTGACACGTTTTAACAATGTTAGTATGAAACTAGTAAGGACCTAATTGTTTTATTTTTCAAATATAAAATCCTAATGGAGACAAAGAAAAGGAGAGACCTAGTTTGGAAAAGTAACCATAAATAAAAACTACAAGAATGAAAAAAACACAACAAAAAGTTACATATTTCATACACTACTAAAAAAATTGACATATTGCATCAATTTTAAAAGTTAAAAATTCAAATTAAAAATAATTAAAAAGAATGAACTTAAACTATTTTTATAAGAATTGAAACAAACTATTAATTAAAACCTTTTTTTTATCAATACTTTAAGGATTTGGTGTGAAAACGTTTTTTTTTTTTTTTTTTTTTTGAGAAGTCTTCTTTCTAAGTGGAAAGCACCACCAGACATCGGTTTTCATTTGCCACCACCCACTCTCTCTTAATATCTCACACACTCACGTGTCCAACATCCCTATCACCTCTCTCCCTATAAACTCCCTCTTAACTGCAATACCATTGCTGTAAACGTAACTGAATTGATCGATGGCAGCATTGATACCGGCCGTGACACTGGTGACGGTGACAACGTTGGCGTGCCTGGTGTGTGGGGCTTCGCACTGGACATTGGTCGTGTCGAAGACGGAGATCACGGACGTGAAGAGGAACAAGGAGGTGCAGGACTTGGGGTATTTCTCCGTGGAGGAGCACAACCGGAGGCTGAGACAGGCTCTGAAGGGAATGGCGGAGGAGACGAAGTTCGTGGAAGTGGTAGAGGCGAAGAAGCAGCTGGCCGCCGGCACCAAGTACTATCTCAAGATTTCGGCCACGCAGAGTGGGCGTTCCGTAATGTTCGACACCGTTGTGGTCGTCCAGCCTGGCCTTGCTTCCAAAGATCTTCTCTCCTTTGCTCCTTCCTCGCAAAAAATATCTTACCCTACTCTCCATTCATGGTATGTTTAATACAAAATTACTTTGTAAATTTTATTTAATGTAGGAGGTATAGATTAAATACTTTATTCATGATTTTGAGAACTTTTCACTATTTTTGGGTTGAAATCTATTTTGAAGAAAATTTAATTTTAGTAATTTTTGTTTTGAACTAATTGTTTCTTTTTTAGTTTTGTTATTTATTTTAACTCCACCCCTCGGTTAAAAGTAATGATGTTATGTTTCTAAGTTAGATAAGTTTAGTAATAATTTATGAGTTAATATACCAGAATAACATGAGATGATGTGTAGATAAAGAGTATGATATTGATCTATATATATATATATATATATATA